AAACTTACCTTTATAAAATAAACTTTGTACGCAATCATCAAAATAAACGTCTACTTGTTTAACTTGGGTGAGAATTGGTGAAAGTTTATCCATTAATTGATTCACAGTCACGAATTTTGATTCACTCATTTCTTACGAATTAAAAAAATAAATTATTCAAAAATGTAAGACATGAATTTTTAAAGTTTATTTTTCATTCATGAAAATAATTATTTCTAATTTCTTTTACTCTCTCGTATATACTAGATTTAAAGAATTCAGAACATTTCCCATAATCTCCTAAATGTTTTCTTATCTTATTGGTTTTCCATTCATTATATGAAACTGAATAAACTTTATCTTTATCTTTACACCTTTCATCACTTCCAATATATTTATATTTCAATTTTGATTTATTGGTTTCATATTCATTAGCGTTTAATAATTCACAGTCTTCCTTTTTAAATAAATGTTTTATGTATTCAGGATTAACAATTCTATAATATTGCTTCCCTTTAAATCTTTGAATATAAACAGGAACACCATCCTCTAAAATTCGATAATCTATTTTATCCAGTTTTACTTGTTGGGTCATTTATGTAAGAATAAAAAAATAAATTATTTTTAAAAATAACTTTAATTTTTTTAATGGTTTTATAAATATATTTTTATTTTTTATTTCATTATGTATGGGCTGAGTGTAAATGTCTTACAATTTTGAACATTTTTTAAATCTTGATTTATTCAAAAACGTAAGAATAAAAACCGTAAGAATCATACATTTTTTACTTCATATGTTAAAAAAAATGATACAAAATCGCTCGATATTGTATGAATTCTTACGTTTACAAAAAAAGTCACAAAACCCATCATATCCTACTACTAATGGAATTTTTTTTCCCTCAATAAAAATTTATAATTTTTGTTTGCAATCATTTTATAGATTAAAAAAATTCCATTCTGAATGTAGACTTTTCAAAAATTGAGAGCTAGAATGACAAAAAAATCATTCAATTTGAATTGTTGGAATTTTTGGAACCGAATTATTGATTGTTTTTAAAGCTTCTAAAATCCGAGAAATATTCATGATTTATGTACAAAATTTCTTATTTATCAAATAATTGTTTGAAAATGGAAGAAATATTTCAAGAATTTTTATCAGAAGACACATCAAATTTTTCACTTTTTACTTGTTCATATATTAACACATCGAATGCAACAAAAAATTACAATTTTTCGCGTGACTTTTTCCCTCAATATTTGAAAAAGTCAGCGCGAAAAATTTGATTCTTTTGATCTTCAAAATTATTGGAATCGAATTTTGTAAAATTCGATTCCAAAAAATTTGAAGTGAAAAAAGAGAGGTATGCTGGCTGGAATAAGGTTAATTTTTTCTTTTAACGTCATTTTTAATGGCCACGTCTAGAGCTAAGCATAACATTATTTTAGAAACAAGTAAAGTCATTCGAAAAAGCACTTCATATATTATGTTTTCGATCGTAACAATATAGATGTTTTCGCTTTTATACAAAAGATTTATCAAATTTATTATCATATATGTTATTATTCGTTCATCTTTACGGAAACGCCATATCATTAAGAAATTCGCATGGGAGATTACTCAAACGTATATGTTAAAATCCTAAATTATTAACTTTTTTTTGTACAGGTGGTTTTCCTTGTAATAGCTATAAAACATATAGATTCATGGTAAGTATCACCTTTAGAATAGATTTATTTAAAAACTATCAGCCAAAAAAAAGTTACCCGTATATTCAATTACTGACTTATTCAAAATAGCAAAATTAATAATACGATAATGATTTATAGCATCATGGTATGCATAATGTTTAACTATTTAGTATGTCTTATAAAATTATTATTTTATTTTTTTTTTTATTATTAGGAATAAATTATCTTAATACTAGTAAATAGTTCACACATTTATGTAATTTAGATATTTTTGCTCAGAAAGCCTAATTGATTGGTATTAACTCATCATTTATTCGCTCATTGAGAAAGTATTATTAAAACATGCAAGATATGTGAGATTATTATAAACTTCGGATTATAATCTGAATGGTTTAATTTCAATCATACTTCATGATGATTAATATAATATTTTTATTCATTATTGTAATATATGAAATTTAAGCATTAATATTATTTCAGAACTTAAAATAATTAGTTTTTGTCGATTCATAATTCAAATAAATCAGCTAAATATGTAAAAAATTTAAAAAATTCCAAAATGGCAAAAATAATCTGAGCATAAAATACAAGCAAATTACCAGTGCATTTTCCTCAAAATTGGCTGATAGTTTTTCTTGCATGTTCATACAAACATTGCTCATATAAACATATCAGCGAATATTTGACATATCATCAATTTGCGAATATTTCCTTTCAAATGGTGCAAATATCAATGAAAAAGATAAATTTGGTCTAACTGCTCTTCATAATGCAGCAGAATATAATTGTAAAGAAACAGCAGAACTTCTTATTTCTCATGGTGCAAATGCTAATGAAAAAAATAATTCTGGGGAAACTCTTCTTCATATTGCAGCAAATTTTGATTGTAAAGAAAACGCTGAACTTCTTATTTCTCATGGTGCAAATGTCAATGAAAAAGATAATTCTGGAGAAACTCCTTTTCTTATTGCAGCAAATTATAATCGTAAAGAAGTCGCAGAATTTTTTATTTCTCATGGTGCAAATATCAATGAAAAAGATATAAATGGAAAACTGCTCTTCATCATTTAACATATTTTTATTATAAAGAAACAGCAGAACTTCTTATTTCTCGAGAGAGGGTCAAAGTTGCTATTTGTCACTTTTCCACAAGAATATAATGGGGAAAAAGTTATCATATAGTTGATCTCATTCACTGAGGTGAGAGATGCATGTAGTGTAATTTGATAAACAGTGGGATTGCTGCTCTAAGTCCTAGGTTCAAGACACATTGGCTTCATTTTTCTCTTTTTTATTGACGTAAACTATTCAATTTTTGTGTTCTCCATTCAAATTTCAGAATTTTTTTTGCAGATTTCACGCTACATTCGAAGTTACCTTTTGTAACAACCACCACTGCCTACGAAAGACGAAAGTGTGTCACGATTTCACCCGGAAATCCGACGGTTGTTTAAGAGTATGCACTTTTGTCACCTACTCGAAAAAGATATAAATGGAAAACTGCTCTTCATCATTTAACATATTTTTATTATAAAGAAACAGCAGAACTTCTTATTTCTCATGATGCAAATGTCAATGAAAAAGATGAAGTTGGAAAAACTCCTCTTCATTATGCAACAGAACATAATAGTAAAGAAACAGCAGAACTTCTTGAGTATAAGTTCAAAAGTATGGCATTCCAAACGGGAACCGCGGTTGGTTACCATGGATTTCCGTCACCGGTCACATTTTAAAGATTTTTAAAGCCTTATAAAAATATGCTTTGTAAATCATTTTTTGTAAATCGGCAAAAATTTGGTAATTTTCTTCAACTAATAAATCTGCGAATAGCATTTATAATACAAGAACAATCTTTTAAAATGCGTTTGATTCATTTTTGTATAATTTCATATAGGCACATATATTCTTCCGGGACTTTCCGTGATTTTACCGTAAAATCATTAGTTTACACCAATTTTTCCGTATTTTGAATAGTTTACTGCACTTTTTCCGTAAAATTGAGTTACGGGAATCCGCAAAATTTCCGGACCTCATTTTTCATAGAATATAATAATAATATTTGATAAAAAGATATATTATTTATATTTTTGATTTTTGAATTACGGAAAAAGTGAATTGTTAACTTGATTTTTTTATATGGTTAATTTTTCAAATGATATTATGAAGATCTAAAATATTAAAAGTAAAAAATTGAATTACGGAAAAAGTGAGGTCAAAAGTGAAATAAATTTGCAGAACAATTTTCATTGAAATAAGACATTGAGTATCACACTTTAGTGAATCAACATCTATAAGAATGAAGTGTTTTGAAGCTGAAATAATATTGAATAGAAATTAATTTTTTCTAAAATTTTGAATGAAATTATGGGAAATAAAAAAATTACTAAATATTGTATTCATACAAATATATTATTTTAAAGGAAAAATAGATGCTGATAGAAACGATGAAAAATTTTGAAAACTTTACAATTAATTTATGTTCGTTAACCACAGAGCTTGCAATCCAAAGCTCACGTTAGACTACAAGAGTCATGAAGTCTCATACTAAGGGATATCCAACATATATTTTAATAATCTAATGTTTGTGACAAATATTCAACATAAAATTAAGTTTTCGTTTCGTTACAAGGCATTCATACTTTGGAGATATCATATTTAATGTACAGAAAAGTTAATATTAAACAATACATGCTAAAGAATTAATAAATAAGATAATAAAATAAATTTATACGTAATTACTTTCATTTAATATGCTTTATGCTGTATAATATTGATTAAGAGGCATTAAAAGGTTCCATAGTCTGCTTTTATAGGCAAGATTTTTGATAAAAATTTAAAATTTTGAAAAATGATGAGAAAAGGAAAAAAAAGGTAAATGAGAGCAAGAGGAGGGAAAAAAAAGAAAAAGAAAAGAAAGGGAAGGGAAAAATAAAAGAAAGAAGGACATATAAAAATTTAGATGCGCATTCTTAATGCCGAGGCGGCTTGCCGCCGAGGCGCGATTTTTTTAGGCCTCTACGGTAACCCGGCAATGTTTTTTTAAATCTTGTACAGCCCTATAGAAGCTATATTCAAAATTTGGGGGCATTTGGCCTGTATCAAGGGTAGTCAGCATACCTCTGAAAAAAGAATTTTTTTATTTGCATCACTTTCTTACTTCAACATCTTGATACTTTCAGCGAAGGGTTATTAAAATCAAATTACCCGTTTATAAAATAAATTTTATTTTTTAATTCATCTCATTATTCATGAATTTTATTTTTATTGTTTAAAAATTATCATTCAAAATTGAAATATAAAGTCTATGTTGATACCTTTGATGAAAAATTCTACAAGTTTCGGATTAATTGTGCGAGATTTAAATATGTAAATATACAATTATTTTCAAGTGCACATTCAATTGGTGTTCTGTCATACTCATCTTCTGCATTGATATCAGCACCATTAGAAATAAGAACTTTTGCTGTTTCACTGCGATCCTTACATGCAGCGTAATGAAGAGGTGTTTCATCATTAATATCTTTTGCATCGATATCTGCACCGTGTGAAATAAGAAATTCGACTATTTGTACATCAGAATTTTTAGCTGCATAATGAAGAGGTGTTATATCACTTTCATCTTTTGCATTTATATCTGCACCATGAGAAATAAGAATTTCGACTATTTCTTTACTTGTTTTTTTAATCATCTCTTTCATATCTTCCTCGAAATGTTTTATCTGCATCGAAATCTTTATATGTGAATATCTTTCTTTCTAAAACGTATTCAAGCATTTCATTATTGTGTGTTTTTAGAATGTCTCGAAGACAATCAATGCTCATTTTATTATCTTTCATACAGTGATTGATAATGTCAGTATTTCGTCCGATTATCGAGTAACGAAGACATTGTTTAGATAATTTTGTGGTATGATTGAATGTAAAATAATTGTTTTTGAACTTGTACCTTTTCATTAAAATCGAAACAATTTCAATTAATCATGCATATATATGGCATAAAACTTTGTTGCAATCTAGAGATTTAAACCTCTTGATTATGCCCACAAAATATTGAAACAATCAATCGCAATTTTATCAATTAGAAAAAGGGAGTTATGAGAAGTTTAAAAAAACATCAAAATGTAATAAATTTTATTAATGAAATTAAATTTAAGCTTCCATGTAAAGAAATAACACATGAATACTGTCACCTGGCTGAATTTTGCATGATTCGATTGTGCTATCCTCGGCAAGTACTTGACCATTAAGGGTATAGTAAACTCAAAATTCTAGAGTTTTGAGAGTGCCAATAAACTTTATAGGCCTATATATATCTATATTTTAAAGGAGAGGTTACGCCATAATATTTGATATTATAAATTATTAATTCAAAATAAAAGTAGAAAATGAAACTAATTTTATTCTAACCTATATAAATATATCAATAATCTAAAATGATTATAGTCTGAACTATATTTTACCAGATTATCAAATATAAGAGAAATGAAATAAGGCATAAAAATATCATAGCATAATTATTGGATAAATGCATTAATAAATTATTTATATCATAATGAGAAAAAATCAAAATAAGAAAATGAGCATAATAATAATTTAATTAAAAACAAAAACAATAAATAAAATGTAATTTTCGTTAATCAAAGTCATCAATGTCTTCGTCTTCTGATTTCCATTCGGACTTGAAAACTTGATAATCTCCTCCTGGTACACTCTGAATGAATTTTTTGTATTTGTTCTGTTTTTTAGAACCTTTTGTAACAGTTTTTTTTTTCAATATCATTTTGGAGTAACAATTCTCTTCAAATGATTTGACACAATCTTCTGGAAGTGGGGGAAGATGTAATGCTTTTTGTATATCTCCGAGAAAATGCTCTGGATCATTCCATTCTAAGATTGCAACGTTAACTCTAATGTTAATGTTCTTCCAGGCTCTTGATTTGTCCAAATAGCATGCAATTTTGGAGTTAAACGCTTCATTCATGCAGGTAGATCCAATGGAAGAAACTTTGGAAACTATGGGTGTCCATTTGTGAACCCAGTCATAGAGCATGAATTGAAGTTGGATCGAATTGACACCTTTTTGCCATTCAAAGCATTTGTAATTGTGCGGTTCGCAAAAAGAATGATTGCCTACGTAATGGTAGACACAATTCTCCCACATTTTCGTACGTTTGTCAATATTTTCTTCGGCAAAACATGACCAAAGCCACATACTTAGGCTTGCATTCAGACCCCAGAAAGGTCTCTCTATTTTTTCAATCTTCTGAGTCTTGTCGTTGAAAACTTCAACTGTCTTATGAGAAGCTGAGAACTTTGTAAAATCTTTTGAGATATTTTTTGATACATGACCTGGATCGAATCTTTCAAGATGAGAGACGCCAAATTCTTTAAAGACAGAGACACTTTTGTTATCTCGGTCTTTAATAATCTCTTTAACATCTTTCAAGATATTGTATTTCTTTAATTGCTTCAAGATGATTCGAGTTCCAGCACTTTCCATATTGTTGGAAGCTCCGGAATACTGAGCATGCTGTCTGTTTCCACCAATATGGTTGATGTTCACGCATGCAAGAACTCTTTTTGTGACAGCATCGAGCGCAGTTACTGTACAACTTGGCGAGTTTCGCCTGTGCGTCCATCTTGCATCAATGGATAAGTAACCACTGAAGGACTTTCTCGACAGCATTAGGGAAATACTTTTAAGTCTTCTAATCTTATCGTCACAAAATCTCTGTTGTCTCATGACACCACTCTTCACAGGGGGCTTAGTTCCACAAAGAGAAAGAAAGCGAGCACCTTTTGTATATGGCATTCCGGTCATTATGCAAGCACCAAGCATCTGTCGCGCTGAGAGTCGACGACGTTCGTGGAGTAAAATGTTATGCATTGCCTTTGTTTTCCGTTTTGGGTGAACAATATGGCCCATACAACAACAAAAAAATGAAATCCCGCCAAAAGTGAAAATTGAATAAAAAGTAATACCCAGATTTTCCTTACTTTTACCACCCCCTCTAAAGCTGGGGACACCGCCTATCGTTGGGAGTAGCTATTAAATAGAACCACCAAGGGTATTTTTTGAACTGCCAGTGTAGTGTAAACATCCGACATAATGATTCATTATGCCAAGGTTTGATTCCTATTTAGCCATTTTTTTTTCTTTTTTGGATCATGAATTTTTTTTGGGTCACTATAAGATTTGTTTCATGTTCTAAATCTGCTGCATATGTAATCTATTTTTATTTACCTATTTTTTAAAAATCTATTGGATTGCCAAATTTGAATATATTTAAAATCATAAAAATCCAACAAAACTATAAATATATGTTTTATGCATAGTGCCGATACTCAAATATCAGATTACTTAGATCCATGAATAATATCCGAATTTTTTTTCTTAAAATTAAACTTCAAAACTTCTTGCAATCTTATTCTTAATCAATTGTAAATTTTTAAAACCATTTTTTAAAATAATTTTGCGTAAATTTTATTCTCATGTTGTTTTAATCGAAAATTGATACATTTTCAAAAAAATAATATTGACTTATGAAATTCATTTTTAAGGTGAAATAGTATTGTTTTTATTAAAGTATATGAATAATATATAAAAAATTAATGAATAATATAAGCAGATTTTTAGTTTACAAAACAAATATGAGCAATGCAATTTCAAACTTTTGCTGGCAATTTCGATATTGCTCAAGTTTGTAGTATTTGTGATACCTATAACATCGGCTTAATCAAAATTCGATTTTTCTTATGAGTTATTGAGAAAATTTGATTGCAATGAGAAGGATTTCGACGTTTTTGATAAACTAAGAGCTGAGCTTTAGGGGTTCAGTTCATTTATGGCTGTAGTTTGATGCGTAGATCTCTTTTTTATTGTAAATTCTTTCAGCAGAGATCGAGAATGAATCTTTTGAGAACTTTATGAGTTTTTACACCCGTAAAGAGGTCCTTCGAGGAAAGATAGTCCAGACTACATGAAGATGTGGGTTAACCAAAAAAATCCGATGGTTTCCCCATATTCATGTAGATCTTCGAAAAAATGAGCACCAAAAAAGCCAAAAAAATAGGCTTTTTATTGGATTTGTACACTAGATCAATAATCTATTTAGGATCTGACACTCTTTTTAGCCAGAGATATGAGGTCCTTTCTAGGAAAACGATCTATTCATCCATAAAAAAAATGAATTATCGTTTTCCCCAGAAATTACATGGGGAGTGGTAAAAGTAAGGAAAATCCGGGTAATTAATAAATATATACTATATCATTAGATGAATATTTTGGAATAACATTTTAAAATCGAGGTTTTTCAATGGATAACGGTTCAATCAAAAATTTGACCCCATTTTAGAATCTACATTAAAAATGGAACATTTCTGTCTTTTCAAAATTCCAAAATAACGTTTCTATTCCTCTCAAAAGTAAAAACAAACTTTATTGGGGAAAAAATATTTTTATTTTCCAAAAAAAATGAAAACCTTAAATGCAAATCTAATTTGATGCTTTTGTTTGTGATTTTTTGGATTTCGAAAAAAATTTGAAAATTCAGACAAGTTACCATTAACACTAATACGTTTCAGCGAGTCGGTCCCATCAGAGAAATTTTCATAAATCGGCGATATAATTTATTATTTCAGCAAAATATTCTCAGATCCAACTAGAATAAGGTCAAATTATACAAATTTAGCAAAGGCTAGTTATCCTACCTATTCAATTAACTTTAATTTTAAATAATTCAAGACAATTCTCAAAATTACCTTAATAATCGCGTTCTCTTCGCAAAATGACGATTCATCATTCACTACCAGCATAACTGAGGGCTTGTGCTCACAGAATAATACAGATAATTTACTTATTAATGCAAAATTTAGTACCAAAAGGTAATCATAGAAGATACAAAAAAAGTTTCTTTATTTTGATTGCTGATTTTATTTCTTCTAAAATTTACCAAATCTAAAAAATCCAAAATTGAATGCTATTGAATTTCATGTTTATGTAACATATACTATTTATTATATAAGGAATAAAAATTTTATAGTTTTAATCAAAAATAAAGGTGTACTAAATGCATACAAAACAAGGTATTTTTTACTCATCCAAAATATGTTAACAGTGCTATTTATATAATCAATATCCGAATTTCGAAATCATTTTGATGAAATCTTTATTTTAAAATTGAGTTGACTGTTAAAATCACCCGAGAAGAGGGATTATCTCAATGAAAAGTACATAAAATAGCAAACGCACAAGATGGCACTATGCAGCTTTATATTGTTATACAGGATGAACATATAAAATGTTTGGAAAACACTTACTTCGTTCTACAAATGTGTATCTCTTTATATCAAAGATTCTTCTCAAATTATTGAGAGACTTCTCTCAAAAAAAGGAAAATTTGATAACTAAAAAAAATTATGGCATAACCTCTCGTTTTGCATAGATATATATTTACATGGTCACAGAGCTTATTTTCATTGTCAAAACTTAAAAATTTTTAGTGGACTATACCCTTAAGCAGGCATTCAACATAATTGTATGTTTTTGCTGCACTTTCGTTTATATTATCCATCAATTCGCGAATTGTCTCATCACCCCTGACTAGGATGTCGCTTGTTTCACCACTGACAAGGATGTAGCGAATAGTGAACTGTCTAACCATGAAAATGATTTTTAATCAACCGATTTTCTAAAACAAATTTCAGGTCAATTGTAAAATAGAAAAATTTTATAATTTTTACTTATTTAAGTTTGGTAAATCAATTATTCTATATGAATTGATCTGATACTTTTTGAAAAATTAAATTTGAATGGTTTGAAAATTCCAAAAAAAATGGAATAATTTTTTAAAGGTACGGACACTCCCTTCTAACCAAAATTTTGGCTTTAAACTCCAGCTGCAGGCTATACATATTATGCATATGTAGAATACGTAGTTTGGAGAAAATCGGCAACTACAATCTAGAGTTATATCATCATCCAGAATTATCAAAAAAATTTCTTAAATATCACGATAGTGCAATCCAGCACAAGTAGCATATCAGCGCTATATCATAAAACCAATTATATATCAATATAATGCCGTATATTTGATTCAATTTACAATATTGGTATAAAATTGAAGCTAACTTTATCATGCACTTAGTACTAACAAGTTCAAGGATCTCATATGTCTACTACAATTTTAACATTGCATGATGAAACTTGTAATATTACAATGTCTGACAAAGCCCGTAAGAGGCAAAACCGCGGCAAAAGTTCTCAAAATTGAGTGAAGGCTTGGCCATATAAATATGACTTATTTTCCAATTACGTTATATGGCATAAAACTTGGAAGCAATCAGGAGGTTTAAACCAGAGTTGTACCCACAAAATATTTAGCCTGAGAAAAGGACCCATATTTATGGTATAGATAGAATAGATCATAAGAAGTTTAACTTGAGACTTGGGAGAAAAACTGTGCAAATTTCAAAAATGAGAAAATCAGTGAAAATTGATTACTTATTCAATTAATTTTTTAATCCAAAAACGAAAATATTCAAAAATTTTAAAAAATTATCTTTTACAGTCAAATAAGCCTTTTTATGCATTTTTAAATCAGTCAAATCGATTTATTATTATTCTTTAAACTATATTTTTGACAAATATTCCTAACATTTCTCATTATATTATTCTCATTTTTATTATAATAAAAACCTGATTCTAACTTAAATAATATAGCTCAAAAATGCATTGCAATCAAATCACATATAATGTATTTATTAAATTTGGTTAATTTGAAATTTGATATTTCATTTTTTGAATATTTATTGAAATAATGCATGCAATAGTCTGCTCGAAAAAAATAAAACTTATTACAATACGAACGTTCAAAACTTAAGAAATACATTTCCCAAATGATAAAGAACAAAAACTTTATTGGGAATTACAGGCGTGTAGTGTTTTCTTGTTGTGCAGTAAAGTTGACCAAATTTGCACAACTTTTCCTGCAAATTTGCACAAATTAATAACATCATATACTCTAATAATATTTGGAATTTTATGGAAATCCTCAGGGCCAAAGTCAAGATATGAGATGATTGAAAACCAAAAATTGAAATGCATTCATATTTCTCATGTAAAATCCATTTGCATGAGGAACTCTGACTAAAAAACCAAAAAGCTATAAACATGTTAGAAATCTCCAATATATCAAAAGTTGATGACAATGTTTAACTAAATAATCTTAATAAATTTATACATCATGTCCTGTACAATACATCATCAATATCAACTATTCTCTAAATATCTATGCGAGCTCAATAAATGTACCAAGGTATCACCGAATTTTCAACGAAAGGAAATGCAGGGGGTAACACCTCGGAGTGAAGGCAAACTTAATCGCATTTACATTCCAAACATCTTACCAAACTTCCTTTATCGACGTCGTTTAGTTACTTTTGTTCACACGAAAATCTTCCAAGGAAGATTTCTAAAGTACTCACAAAATCTAGATTGAGAGGCGGTCAATGACTTTTGAGGGGAAATTAACGCATGGAATTTAATATTATTTAGGTTGATATTCTTGCTTATTATTTCAGAAAAAAATCTTAAAAATTTCAATATGAAAATTGAAAGCAATTCAAAAAAATTGCTAACATGTAAATTTTAATATCCTAAGCATAATTTCATATTTTGAACATTTTTTATTTTTGTTTAAAACTTAAAATTTTGCGAATTTAATATAATTTATAAAATATAATACGTATATATATTTAAAATACACTAAATTTAATTGTTAATTGACGTTTTTGGGAATGAATTTTATCAAAACATGCCTGAATCCGAAAATTTGAAAGAATGAATTACACAATCATATATGTAGAATTCAAAATACAAACTTAAAGATTGTATACGTTTAAAATTATTCAGATTGTGTTTGATTTCCACTCATTCTGTTTCTTTTGAACTCTAACACTAACATTTCATGATGATTACATGATCCATTTATACATGGTTGAATTGTTCCAGATTCTACCAGAAAATCAATCCAAATTTCTCAATGCATTCATGTTGATTGGACAAAATTTAAAATTTATCAGCCTGTTTCCAGAGAAACTCATATATTCCCTAATGAAATGTAATTTTTGCTACATTTATTTCAATCAAATTTCAAAAAATTGACTGCAGAGCTTGAAAAGGGGATGAATCATGTTGTTATTAGATGTACATATTAGATTTACTATTTCCAAAAAAATGCTCAAATTTGAATAGTTTTTAGAAAATTTGGAATTACACTCCTTACATTATATATAATTAAATGTTTAAATTTTATTTATTTTTCCCTTTTAATTTTATAACTTGCTCTATCAAAACTAACCTCTCAATTGAAGGCCACAAAATCTAAGTAGTGAGGGTACACAAATTTTGTATGGAGTACGGTTCAATTTTTGAGAGCCTCACTACTTAGATTTTGTGACTACCTTAAAATCCGAAACTAGAAATCATCTTCCAAATCGGCAACCCTAAAATATTGGAACAATCAATCTCACTTTATCAAAAGGAAGTATTTAAAAAAATTTAAATGTTTTAAGTTTTAGAAATGAAATTAAATTTAGCCAGCAACGGGATTGGGTGTTAAGTGAATACAATCGCCTGGCTGAATTTTGCATGATTCGATTGTGCTATCCTCGCCAAGTACTTGACCATTAAACAAAAGTATCTGGTTTTCGGCCGGGTAACCTGTCTTTTCCTCAAGCTCTTCCTTCAATTCGCGAATTGTCTCATCATCCCTGACTAGGATATCGCCGTTTTCGCCACTAATAAGGATGTAGCGAATAGTGAACTGTCTAACCATGAAAATGATTTTTAATCTACCGATTTTCCAAAACAAATTTCATGTCACTTTTGAACAAGAAAAATTTTATAATTTTTACTTATTTAAGTTTGATAAATCAATTATGTCATCTTATACATAAATTGAAAAAAAATAAATTTGAGTGGTTTCAAAATTCCAAAAAAAATGGAATTTTTTTTCCCTCAAAATTATTTTCAATAAAAATTTATAAATTTTGTTTGCAATCATTTTATATATCAAAAGAATTCTAATCTGATTGTAGACTTTTCAAAAATTGAGAGATAAAAACACGCAAAAAAATCATTCAATTTGAATTGTTGGGATTTTTGGAAACAAATTATTGATTATTTTTAAAACTTCTAACAACTGAGAAATTATTTCTCAAATAATGGTTTAAACATGGAAGATTTATTTCAAGAATTTTTATCAGAAGATACATCGAAAGTATCAATTTGACTCCTTTATGCAAATTTTTAAATGCACAAAAGAGTTTTTGCACTTGTACATGTTTAAACATATACTGCACTCATAAAAATGGAGGTAAACACCCTTAAAAAGACTTTTTTTATATATAAAGATGTTAAATAAAACATAGTTTAAACAAATATAATAAAAAAAATATATTTTCTATTTTTCTTGGCTTGTCTTCTTTGCTTCATCCTTTACTTTCTTGAAAGGAGAATCATTTTTGCTTCTTTGAGTGTTATCATGTTCTTTCTCAGCCTTTTGTGCTTCATCTTTAATCTTCTTGAAAGGGGATTCATTTGTCTTTGGTTTATCTTCTTCAACTGTTTCTTCATTCCTTTCTTCTTCCTCTTCCTGACTTTTATTTCTTGATTTCTTTCCATCATCAGGGAGAGAAGCAGGTTTGGGAACTTCCGGAACAGGATCAATTCTTTCCACAGCGACTTTGATGACGTAAGGACCTTTTCCATTTGATTTCTTGTTATCGAGTTTTGACAATCTTTCTTCTGTTTCCAAAAGTCTTTTCTCGATATTCTGGAGCCTTGCGCCAATTTGGAAAGGAGAAACACCGTTCCTGTCATCTTCAATTCTCGCGGAATTATAAGTATGTATTGTTTCAATCGCTGATTTCAGTTTCATCCTTATATCTTTCAATCTTCCAACACAATTATGTTCTCCTTCAATCGAATCTTTGATCTCGTTCAGCCTGGAAAGTGCTTGTGTCTGTGCGTGCTCGGCATGGCTGAAGTCTCTCTTCATCGTGTCTTGTAATCTGCGAATGGCAGCAGTGACTTGTTTTTTGCGGTTTGACACTTCTTCATCGACATCGGCGGAAATTGATGTAGAGCCATTTTGTGCCTCGGAATTTAAGTCTTTGGCACTTTCGCTGGTAGCATTGAGGGAGGCTTCCATTCCGGAGTTTAGTTTGGAGATCCTGGCTTTAATTACATCTTGAAGATTTTTTAATCTGTCTTTTGTGTCTTCTGAGCTTTGTATGAGATGTGTCATGGTTTCTTGTGCTTTGCGGCGATTTTCTGTAACTGCTTCGTTCTCTTTCTTCAAGTTTTCCTGTTTTAATGTGATATCTTTCATTCTTTTCTGGCAGTATTCGTTTAATTGATTAATGGCGTCTTCGAACTGGTCCCTTGTCTCGTTTATTCGTGTTGGAATGACTTCTTCTGTGAGATTTGTGATGATTTGTTGTGTTTTCGAAAGTTGAGATTTTAATCCCGAAGTTCCTGCACTTAATTGAGGAGAATCTTCAATCAAGTTACTCAGAAGCTGGACCTTATGCTCTAGCTGGCCGATTTTAGGAACAATTTCATCAAACTGAGAATTTATTTTTGATTGTTGAGTTTTCAAATTATCTGATGTAGTTTCGATCTTTTCGGATATGGCTTTTAATGATTCTTCTAATCTGGCTAGGTTCGTGTCTGTTGCGGCTGATAAATCTGTTAATTTTTGTTTACTCGCTTTTACATCGTCTTGCATTGGTTTGATTTTACTATCGACATCAAAACGAACAAATTTCTCAAAGTTAGCAGCTAATGTATCATATTGCCTCTGTAATGGAGTGATATCTTCAGATTCCATTTGAGCGATACGATCTTTAACTCTATTTAACTGTGTTTTTGCTTCTTCTTGAGAGTGCTCAAGCTTTTGGATATCAGGCTGTAGCTTTTTCTCCATTTCATTGATCTGAGATTCAAGTGTATGCATTTTAACTTCTTGTTGCTGCTGCATTATCTGTACTTGTGAAGTTAACTCTGCTCTAACGTTCTGTATGTCGCTTAAACCACTTGTTGATAGCGCGGCTTGATTTTGATTTTTATTTAATTTCGTAGAAGCAGAAGCAGATATTGTTGGTAGCTTTGGAGCTTCATCTACATTGTCATCCTCATTAACTTCTGGCTCTTCAATGTCATCTTCAACTTGTGCCATTGATTTTACAAGGATTTTGAAAAAAAAACGAATTTTTTTTTTCCTTTCGAAATTCTCCAAAAAAAATCCCGGTAGAAAAACATCAAGCTACATTACATTTTCCTTAAATTAGCAGTATGGTGTTGTCGATTGAGGCTGTTAACATAGAGTTCTTAGGAAGATATATCTTGTGTATTAAAAAAAGTGTTAAAAATTACACATTCTGGAGTGGTGCTCACCACTAAAAAGGTTTGATATAGGTAAGATTTTAGTTGCCAAAGGATAACACTTAAATTGATCGATTTTGAAAATATGATTACGTAAATTAATAAAACTATATCAGTAAAAGATACTACATCATTGTTAAATGCCATATCATCAGAATGGGTATATGTATCTTTCAAAATAATTCATGAATTTTTATAATATGTTTTTTATTCGATATCAATAAGATTTTAAATTATCTTGTCTGAAGGCAGTCTATTTGAAGCTAAAATAGTTAAAATTATTCAAATTTAAAATCTTTATATAAATAATTAACAAAAAACAATAAAGTATCATAGCATAGATATAATATATTTCATGAGTGTGTCAATTTTTCAATGAAATCTTGGTCATTTATTGATGATCTCATTTCAGAATTTTCCAGAATTGGCTGAAGAGCAGAGGAATATGTCAAAGAGTCAGAGGTAAGATTATGGAAAGGTAATTCTAAGTAATCCTCGCATTCATCGATGTCTAATTCTTCATAATTTTCGTAACATTCCTGTAAAAACTTCATTCTCTTTGTTGTTTCAACAGCAATGTTCGAAATCTCAGTGTTTTTCTGGGAAACAGCGAGTTTTGACAGCGCATAACAGTATAATAAACCAATAGATGGTTCGCAGTGGCTGTATCTTGTATAGGAGGACACAAAATACTGCAAAAGGTCGTCAGGAAGAGAAAATTGGTCGCAATAACAAATTGCAGATGCCAAAACCGAAAAAGAAGCGAAAAACAAAGAATCATTCTCAGATTCTATGTATTGCATGCAATCCTTAACGATTTGGAGCACGTTGTTCTTCCAAATTTGAAGAATTCCACATAATACGAAAATTGGAGCTGCTTTTGCTTCAAAGTACTCCTCGCCATCAGCTATCTCATATACAGCTTTAATTATGTCTGGGAGGACTGAATACGAAGTAATTTCTTTCTTCATAACAATAATCGAAATAAATTTCAGAATTCCATTAGAAAACGATGATTTATCTTCGATACTGAGTATTATATTCAACGCGCTTATCAGTAAATCATTAATTTCTAATGATCGTTCCGAAATTGTAGATAATAAATTTAATAACTCCAAATTACAAGCAGATCCTTCAGAATTAAATTGCTCCCCGACAAACTCTATAACAGTACCTGCTATAGAATAAAATTCGTCTGTTGTCGGGTCCAAACTCTCTAAGATACTTGAAATTCCTTCTAAAATGATGGTCCCACTTTGGTTGTCAGAATTTGGGGCAAAAGCAATTAGATAAGAGTTCACAATCGCTTCAGCCATTTGAGAGAACTCATCCTTGAACCATCTGTTGAGCGAACAAAGGATAATTCCGGGTAATGAGTTCGATACAACTGATGATAGGTCAAGAAGTGGGGCAATGATGGTTTGGAGGTCCGAAATGTCTATATCTGATTGAGGATCAAAGGTGACTTGGAACAAATTTGCTGCCAAAAGCCTTGTACAAGGATTATAATCTTCTTTAATGAAATTAAGGGATATTTGGAGCCTCTCTTCCTTGTATTCGGAGATATTGATGAGCCCTGATAGAGAATCGCACTGAATTAGCTCGTTCTCCGTTTGAATTATGTTTATTAAAAATAAAATTAATTCATTATCTTCTTGGAGGTGTGAGGACAGACAACTGAGTATGAAATATATTGTTTCTTCGTCTGAAAAGTTCCCTTGGCCACAAATTTCTTTGATTAACAATAAATACGTCAAATTAGTCGATTTTCGTGAAATTGAATCAATAAAAAGAACAAAAGCTTGTCTAGGAGTAACAATAGCTTTAAATGAATCATGAGATTGAGAAGTACAAAAAGATAAATATTGTTCTGGAATATTTTTAAAAGTTTGTATGTCTTCATCAGTTAATTGCAAAGAAGGAATGATGTATGCCGATAGTACTTCTTCGTTAATGATATTATCTATTAAAACATCGTTCTGAATGTAAATTGAAATAATTCTAATGGAAATTGAGCGCTGGTAAGAATCTCCTGATTGTAATATACGTAATAAACGTTCTAATAGTTCAACTGCGTATGTTTCTTGGAATGAACTGGCAAATTCGCTGAATTCTGATTTAATATTGAGAAAACGATCAATATATTCCAGGAAAAACGTAAGAATAGATGTAATTACGTCTGATTTGAGAGAAACTTCTGATAAAAATGTTAAATAAAATTGAATAATCCTAAAGAAATTTTCTGAAGTAAAAATTGCACGAGATCTCCATAGGTCTATGAGTAAATTAGCTGACAAATAAATAATATTCGAACTTGCTTCATTCATATTCGTTATTTGTACATCAGAAAGTAAAGATTCTGTAATTTGCATCAAAATTAATATGATTTCTTCATTTTCTTTGGTATAAAAACTCTTTTGGCATCCAAATATGAGTAAGTAGTTCGTTAAGTTAAGCAATGATTGAATTATTTTTTCCTTTTTTTGCAAATATTCGATAGATTTGTTAAAAACATATGAAATATCTATAAGCTTATCGGCAAATATCATTTCTAAGCAACTCATTATGTAAGAAATTGAATGGTCAGCAATTTCAAAACTAATTTCAATAAGTTTATCAGAAATGACTTGCTTATCTTGTGAATCTAGAAGATTAAACCGAGTTTTTATTGCTTCTTTAATAACAATGCATATGACATTTGTAAATTGATCATTAAGATGTTGAAGTAAGAAAGAAAGTAACACATCGAATGCATCACTTTGAGTAATAAATTGAAGGAGACTCGAAATAGCTTTGTTTTTGATTCCTTCGTCTTCTGATAAAAAGTCTTGAAATAATTCTTCCATTTTCAAACCATTATTTGAATGATACTATTAAATTTTACATAAGCCACGAACAATTTCTCAGGTGTTTGAAGCTATAGAAGTATTCAATAATTTAAAAAAAATTGTCGGAATTTTTTTTTTAGAATTTTGGAACCATTCAAATTTATTTTTCCTATTGTTGTAAACAGAAATTCATCAAAAGTGACACCTCAGAAAAGCTAAAATATTGAATTTTTGAAACTTTTGATAGAGCACGTTTTTAAATATTAATTAAAGTAAATGTATATTTTGTAAAGATTCTTTTTAATAAAAAAATAAAATTTTGAAGAAGAACACAAAATCTTCTGAAAAATAATATCACATAAACTCATATTATTTTCTAATATATAACTATTTTATATAAAAATCAAATTCAATGATCTTAAAAGCGAAGGATAAACCTCAAAATTTACGAATATAATGAGTGGGAATATAATGCTTATCTATCATAAAACCATATGAAATATCAATTTTTGCTTTACGCCTATTCCCACTCATTATATTCGTAAATTTTGAGGTTTATCCTTCGCTTTTAAGGGTATAGTCCACTAAAAATTTTTAAGTTTTGACAATGAAAATAAGCTCTGTGACCATGTAAATATATATCTATGCAAAACGAGAGGTTATGCCATAATTTTTTTAGTTATCAAATTTTCCTTTTTTTGAGAGAAGTCTCTCAATAATTTGAGAAGAATCTTTGATATAAAGAGATACACATTTGTAGAACGAAGTAAGTGTTTTCCAAACATTTTATATGTTCATCCTGTATAACAATATAAAGCTGCATAGTGCCATCTTGTGGTTTGCTATTTTATGTACTTTTCATTGAGATAATCCCTCTCTCGGGTGATTTTAACAGTCAACTCAATTTTAAAATAAAGATTTCATCAAAATGATTTCGAAATTCGGATATTGATTATATAAATAGCACTGTTAACATATTTTGGATGAGTAAAAAATACCTTGTTTTGTATGCATTTAGTACATCTTTATTTTTGATTAAAACTATAAAATTTTTATTCCTTATATAATAAATAGTATATGTTACATAAACATGAAATTCAATAGCATTCAATTTTGGATTTTTTAGATTTGGTAAATTTTAGAAGAAATAAAATCAGCAATCAAAATAAAGAAACTTTTTTTGTATCTTCTATGATTACCTTTTGGTACTAAATTTTGCATTAATAAGTAAATTATCTGTATTATTCTGTGAGCACAAGCCCTCAGTTATGCTGGTAGTGAATGATGAATCGTCATTTTGCGAAGAGAACGCGATTATTAAGGTAATTTCGAGAATTGTCTTGAATTATTTAAAATTAAAGTTAATTGAATAGGTAGGATAACTAGCCTTTGCTAAATTTGTATAATTTGACCTTATTCTAGTTGGATCTGAGAATATTTTGCTGAAATAATAAATTTATCGCCGATTTATGAAAATTTCTCTGATGGGACCGACTCGCTGAAACGTATTAGTGTTAATGGTAACTTGTCTGAATTTTCAAATTTTTTTCGAAATCCAAAAAATCACAAACAAAAGCATCGAAATTAGATTTGCATTTAAGGTTTTCATTTTTTATTGGAAAATAAAAATATTTTTTCCCCAATAAAGTTTGTTTTTACTTTTGAGAGGAATAGAAACGTTATTTTGGAATTTTGAAAAGACAGAAATGTTCCATTTTTAATGTAGATTCTAAAATGGGGTCAAATTTTTGATTGAACCGTTATCCATTGAAAAACCTCGATTTTAAAATGTTATTCCAAAATATTCATCTAATGATATAGTATATATTTATTAATTACCCAGATTTTCCTTACTTTTACCACTCCCCATGTAATTTCTGGGAAAACGATAATTCATTTTTTTTTATGGATGAATAGATCGTTTTCCTAGAAAGGACCTCATATCTCTGGCTAAAAAGAGTGTCAGATCCTAAATAGGTTATTGATCTAGTGTACAAATCCAATAAAAAGCCTATTTTTTGGCTTTTTTGGTGCTCATTTTTTCGAAGATCTACATGAATATGGGGAAACCATCGGATTTTTTTTGGTTAACCCACATCTTCATGTAGTATGGACTATCTTTCCTCGAAGGACCTCTTTACGGGTGTAAAAACTCATAAAGTTCTCAAAAGATTCATTCTCGATCTCCATGCTGAAAGAATTTACAATAAAAAAGAGATCTACGCATCAAACTACAGCCATAAATGAACTGAACCCCTAAAGCTCAGCTCTTAGTTTATCAAAAACGTCGAAATCCTTCTCATTGCAATCAAATTTTCTCAATAACTCATAAGAAAAATCGAATTTTGATTAAGCCGATGTTATAGGTATCACAAATACTACAAACTTGAGCAATATCGAAATTGCCAGCAAAAGTTTGAAATTGCATTGCTCATATTTGTTTTGTAAACTAAAAATCTGCTTATATTATTCATTAATTTTTTATATATTATTCATATACTTTAATAAAAACAATACTATTTCACCTTAAAAATGAATTTCATAAGTCAATATTATTTTTTTGAAAATGTATCAATTTTCGATTAAAACAACATGAGAATAAAATTTACGCAAAATTATTTTAAAAAATGGTTTTAAAAATTTACAATTGATTAAGAATAAGATTGCAAGAAGTTTTGAAGTTTAATTTTAAGAAAAAAAATTCGGATATTATTCATGGATCTAAGTAATCTGATATTTGAGTATCGGCACTATGCATAAAACATATATTTATAGTTTTGTTGGATTTTTATGATTTTAAATATATTCAAATTTGGCAATCCAATAGATTTTTAAAAAAATAGGTAAATAAAAATAGATTACATATGCAGCAGATTTAGAACATGAAACAAATCTTATAGTGACCCAAAAAAAATTCATGATCCAAAAAAGAAAAAAAATGGCTAAATAGGAATCAAACCTTGGCATAATGAATCATTATGTCGGATGTTTACACTACACTGGCAGTTCAAAAAATACCCTTGGTGGTTCTATTTAATAGCTACTCCCAACGATAGGCGGTGTCCCCAGCTTTAGAGGGGGTGGTAAAAGTAAGGAAAATCTGGGTATTACTTTTTATTCAATTTTCACTTTTGGCGGGATTTCATTTTTTTGTTGTTGTATGGGCCATATTGTTCACCCAAAACGGAAAACAAAGGCAATGCATAACATTTTACTCCACGAACGTCGTCGACTCTCAGCGCGACAGATGCTTGGTGCTTGCATAATGACCGGAATGCCATATACAAAAGGTGCTCGCTTTCTTTCTCTTTGTGGAACTAAGCCCCCTGTGAAGAGTGGTGTCATGAGACAACAGAGATTTTGTGACGATAAGATTAGAAGACTTAAAAGTATTTCCCTAATGCTGTCGAGAAAGTCCTTCAGTGGTTACTTATCCATTGATGCAAGATGGACGCACAGGCGAAACTCGCCAAGTTGTACAGTAACTGCGCTCGATGCTGTCACAAAAAGAGTTCTTGCATGCGTGAACATCAACCATATTGGTGGAAACAGACAGCATGCTCAGTATTCCGGAGCTTCCAACAATATGGAAAGTGCTGGAACTCGAATCATCTTGAAGCAATTAAAGAAATACAATATCTTGAAAGATGTTAAAGAGATTATTAAAGACCGAGATAACAAAAGTGTCTCTGTCTTTAAAGAATTTGGCGTCTCTCATCTTGAAAGATTCGATCCAGGTCATGTATCAAAAAATATCTCAAAAGATTTTACAAAGTTCTCAGCTTCTCATAAGACAGTTGAAGTTTTCAACGACAAGACTCAGAAGATTGAAAAAATAGAGAGACCTTTCTGGGGTCTGAATGCAAGCCTAAGTATGTGGCTTTGGTCATGTTTTGCCGAAGAAAATATTGACAAACGTACGAAAATGTGGGAGAATTGTGTCTACCATTACGTAGGCAATCATTCTTTTTGCGAACCGCACAATTACAAATGCTTTGAATGGCAAAAAGGTGTCAATTCGATCCAACTTCAATTCATGCTCTATGACTGGGTTCACAAATGGACACCCATAGTTTCCAAAGTTTCTTCCATTGGATCTACCTGCATGAATGAAGCGTTTAACTCCAAAATTGCATGCTATTTGGACAAATCAAGAGCCTGGAAGAACATTAACATTAGAGTTAACGTTGCAATCTTAGAATGGAATGATCCAGAGCATTTTCTCGGAGATATACAAAAAGCATTACATCTTCCCCACTTCCAGAAGATTGTGTCAAATCATTTGAAGAGAATTGTTACTCCAAAATGATATTGAAAAAAAAACTGTTACAAAAGGTTCTAAAAAACAGAACAAATACAAAAAATCATTCAGAGTGTACCAGGAGGAGATTATCAAGTTTTCAAGTCCGAATGGGAATCAGAAGACGAAGACATTGATGACTTTGATTAACGAAAATTACATTTTATTTATTGTTTTTGTTTTTAATTAAATTATTATTATGCTCATTTTCTTATTTTGATTTTTTCTCATTATGATATAAATAATTTATTAATGCATTTATCCAATAATTATGCTATGATATTTTTATGCCTTATTTCATTTCTCTTATATTTGATAATCTGGTAAAATATAGTTCAGACTATAATCATTTTAGATTATTGATATATTTATATAGGTTAGAATAAAATTAGTTTCATTTTCTACTTTTATTTTGAATTAATAATTTATAATATCAAATATTATGGCGTAACCTCTCCTTTAAAATATAGATATATATAGGCCTATAAAGTTTATTGGCACTCTCAAAACTCTAGAATTTTGAGTTTACTATTACCTTAAGATCATTGAATTTGATTTTTATATAAAATAGTTATATATTAGAAAATAATATGAGTTTATGTGATATTATTTTTCAGAAGATTTCATTCTATATGCCTATGAAAAGTACTCTCAAAACTAACTTTTTCCTAATTATAATTAAATCTAGAATATTGTATTATGCTTAGTATTATTTCATTTTTCTCATTCAATTTAGAATTTACAAATGTCAAAAAATTGAGAGTTGTCACTTTTGATGAATTTCTGTTTATTACACTATATATATTAGATCGATTCATATAGCATAATTGATTTATCAAGTTTAAATAAGTAAAATTTTTTAAATTTTTCTTGTTCACAAGTGACCTGAAATTTGTTTTGGAAAAGGCGGTTGGTTAAAAATCATTTTCATGTCTGGACAATTCACTATTCGTTGCTTCCTTGTCTCTGGTGAGAACTACGATATCCGTGTCACAAACAATGAGACAATCAGCGCATTGATGGAAGAGCTTAGCTCAATGACTGGCGTTCCAGTCGAAAACCAGATGATTTTGCTTAATGGATCATTACTTGACCCAAGCAGCACAATCGAGTCTTGCAAAATTCAGCCAGGTGATAGCATTCACTTAACAATTAATGTCGTTGGTGGATACTAAATTTACTAAAATTTATTTTATTATGATTTTTTTTTAACTTAATCTCTTTGTTTTTCTTACAAAAGTATCTCCAAAACACTCGAAATCTTACACCCTTTTAAGATTCCTTTTTAAACAAAAAAAAATTCAATATTATCAAATTCCTTCGATTAAATTGACCTTGATGTGCTCACTTACAAATTGTCTTTCCTAAAAGCAGTATTCAAATCTAACAGTTCTAGAATTTATCAGATAAATACCAAACTAAAAATCTTTCACAAACTTCGAACTATATGACAGGCATGGGCGAGTTAAAAGCTTGATGGTAATAAGGATCTTAATATAGAACAATCTTCAAATCAGCCTTTTCCTTCAAAATCTTTTTGGTCGATGAAAGGTCACAGAAACACGGTATGGTTTTACGTATTCCATCAATACAAATAGCGTAGTCTATTCATTGCATTCCATTTTTTCGATGTCAGCAAATTTTGGATATATCTCAAAATTTTATTAATAAATATACATTTTTAATTCATAGTAGATAATAGAATAACAAGTAGTTTACAAATTTGCATAGAGCTTTAATCAGTAACAACACGGAGTAAAACTCTATTTCCAATACCTTGAGATTCGAGAGAATTCTCAGCATTTAGAACTTGGTTGTTGTAGGTAGATAATTTGAAGTCTGGCAGGTCTTCGTTTTTGTTTATGTACTGTTCAACAGCAATCCAGGTATAAACATCATCTGCCAATTCAGTTCTCAAAAATTTTCGTGTAACGCGTTTATTTGTTGGTAAAACAATCGCAATTAAGATACCTTCTTGTGGTTCGTCTGGCAAAAATTTTGATTTTTCCAAAAATCTATTGATTTTCTCATATTTGTTAGTTTCAGTACTCTGTTTACATGCTTCCTTCAATTCTTCTTCCATTGTTTTATTTCTGTCCTTTTCAATTTTTTCACGGATTGCTTTTTGTTCTGCAAGTTTAAATTCGTCGTCCTGCTGTTGCTTTTCGAATGAACGTGACTTAGATATCTCTTGATTTTGATAAGGAGGCTTTTGGTCGTTGAGAGATTCTTGGATTGCTTTCTCAAGCATTCGATCTGTATTAGAATCTTCATTATAACGATTGGTATGAGGGTAGGGATTCATTAAGAGCGATTCTTGAATAGCTTTTTGTAATTGGACTTCATCTACTGAAGATTGACGCTGGGTTCCTCGGAAATTTTGAGGAGGAGCATCTTTCAAAGATTCCTTCATTGCCCATTCCATTTCTCGAGCATAATTGTAATCAAAATTATTATGATTTGGACGATAATATGAAGGATTCATGCCAGGGTAAGGACCATGTTGTCTAGGATAGTTCGAATAGTGACTATTGTAGCCGTTGTTCATCACTGATCCTAAAATTTTATGACACTTTTCTAGACTCAAATTGGAAAATTTTATTAGGAAAAAATAATTGTGAGAATGCTTTTTATTAGCTTCAAACAATCTATATCTTTCACGAAAGAACGTTTGGAAAATTAATGCAACAAAAGTGACAATAATTTTTTTGGTAAGTAGTGTTAATCGGTCTGTTTCTCTCCAATGAATAGAAATTGTTATCTTCGACCACGAGTTTATGTTAAAACAGTTTAGGACAGACCCATCTATGGAGATATTTCTTATAATATTAAGACGGATTGATAGAAATATCTGAATATAAATTCATCGTTATTAGATTGAGCTCAATCACCTCAAAACGCATATGTCTGCGTGCTACTTCACTGGAATTTTATTCTATACTTATAAAAAAAGTTGTAGTTCACAAAATTTATTATACAATTGAATTTCCTTGAAAATATTCATCAGCAAGGCTATGATTATTGTTGTTTGATTACAAGAGTTACTAAAATTTAAAAGATTTGTTGCCATATTAAAATTTAAGTACTTTGTCTTGTTGAAATTATAACTTGAATATATTTATTTTAGCGTTAAAGTAACCTCAGGCTGACAGATGTTAAATTGCATATTAATTTTTGAATTATCCTCCTGAAGGTCAAAAATAAGTATAAGATCAAGAGATTTTATTCGACAAATCTGATTTCAATAAATTGATATTGTTGGTAATATATTATTTACTCTTTTTTCAATAAGTCTATTAATAAAAAAAGTAATATAGGTTAGAAAGCTAGAGAAATATTTCACTAAGGGCATATTTTATAGAATTTATGAAACCATCATGAATGGACACTGTTTATTAATTTGCGCTTTATAGTAGTAGGATAGGATGGGTTGTGTGACTTTTTTTGTAAACGTAAGAATTCATACAATATCGAGCGATTTTGTATCATTTTTTTAACACATTATTTTTAAAATAATTTATTTTTTTATTCTTACATAAATGACCCAACAAGTAAAACCAGATAAAATAGATTATCGAATTTTAGAGGATGGTGTTCCTGTTTATATTCAAAGATTTAAAGGGAAGCAATATTATAGAATTGTTAATCCTGAATACATAAAACATTTATTTAAAAAGGAAGACTGTGAATTATTAAACGTTAATGAATATGAAACCAATAAATCAAAATTGAAATATAAATATATTGGAAGTGATGAAAGATGCAAAGATAAAGATAAAGTTTATACAGTTTCATATAATAAATGGAAAACCAATAAGATAAGAAAACATTTAGGAGATTATGGTAAAAGTTCTGAATTCTTTAAATCTAGTATGTACGAGAGAGTAAAAGAAATTAGAAATAATTATTTTCATGAGTAAAAGATTCACTACCATAATGAAATACATAATGAAAAAAATAAACTTTAAAAATTCATGTCTTACATTTATGAATAATTTATTTTTATTTTGTATGAAATGAGCGTCAAGACTAACAACGTGAAAACATTAGGATTCACAAACGAGGAAATAAAGGATATATTAGATGAGATGTGTTATGAAGTTAGTAAATATTATTTAAGAAATTGCCAAAAATTTGCCGAGTTATTAAATGATTTAAATTATGATGGAAAAATGAATAAAGATGATGTTATAAATTTCTTATATCCCACATCTGAAGAAGAAAAACCTAAAGAACCTGATGTTTTCCCTGAATATTATGAAGAACGGATTAAAGATGATGAATACGATGAAATTGAAATTGAAAGACTGGAAAAAATAAGAGATGAAATAGATGAAAAAATTAAGGAATTAAGAGAAGTTGAAAATGAAGTAGAGGGTTTAATGAATATCCCAGCTTCAGAATCAGCAGTTCAGAAATCTCATGAAGAAAGATATAAAAATTATGTCTCAGAATCAACACAAAATTTATTAGATGGTGAAATAGATGAAACACTTTCAGAAGAAGGTACTAAATTTATTCGTAAACATAAGTTACAATTTATTGATAATGAAGAATACCCTTGTATCTTACTTTCACCCCCTCTCGATTCTGAGAAATTCAAAAAAGCTCTTAAAAACGTGACATATGCAACTAATACGATTAAGAAAGAAGATCATGATATTTACACAAATTATTATTTAAATAAATGCACAGGTGTTGATAAAGTTTTTGATTTATTAGATAAAATATCAAAAGAAACCATTGGAACATATAAAATTTTGTGTGATTGTGGTTTCATTATTGAAGATACCAATAATGTTTCATATGAAAGAACAGCACCGAAGGAAGATGAAGTGGAAAGGTCTATACCATTCGTTATTAAGAACATAAAAGATATGAAAACGTATAAGCATTATATTTATTCATTTATTTCAGAAAAAATGGAAGCAACCCATAAAACATCTTCTCATCATTTTATAGCTATTCATACATTCCTTTTCAAAGTTGTGAAATTAAATAAGACAGGAATTAGATTTAATGTATCAGGGTATGCATTCTTGAGTAAATTAAAATGTATTCGTCACGTCGCAGATGATAAAAATTTATGTGTTCTTAATTCATTTTATGGGCTTTAAAAAATAAATTTTATTTTTTAATTTTTTTTATTCTTACATAAATGAACAAAAACGGAACCGCTAAAATGAATGATAATCAAATTAGAGCAGAAGGTAGAAGGTTATTTAAACGCTTCTATAACATTCCTGATGGTGTTAATCCTAAAACTCGTAGAAGTTATTTAAATGAAGCAATAGATTCATATGAAGGGTTTGACATTTCATCAGAAAGTGAGAGATGAGCGAGAATGTTAAATGTTAATATTGATTTCTATTATTGTGATCCTCAACCAGAAGACGTGGACATAAATAAGGTAGACTTTCCATTAGTGGATTCAATAATGATAGATCCAGAATTTGAAACAGTAAATATTTTATTAACACAGAGTCCATGTGGAAAACTTCACGCTGACAGAATAACAGACGTTGAAGCACTCACCGGCTATAGAGTTTGCCCATATTGTAAAGAAGAAGTTTATTCTATCCGTGATGATCCAGAAAGGAAAAACCAAAGAAGATTTTTAAAGCATTGTGAGAAATGTAAAGAAAATAATGGGAGATTAATTCAAGACGTTCAGTTGCAAAATACCCAGCAACCATATACACCACATATTACGAAACAGAAGATATATCAGTGGTTATTAGCTCATAATTTGCAGGAATATTATCAACCAACAAGATATTATATTACTTTTGACTTCGAAACATTAGAGACTAAAGAAGAATTACAACTTTCTGAGTGTGCAACTTTGAACGCTTACTTAAAACCATTCATGGTATCATCAACGGTTAAATTAAACGATAAAACATATACGAGGAATTTTTGCTTAACTTCGAGTGATTCTTTTATTTCTGATTGGATTGAGTTTTTATTTTCAACCTGTTCATTAGTTGTTGAATCAAATATGAGTCAATACGATGAATTAATGAAGCCGCAAACGGCGGGGACTTTGTCCCATACATTAAATGAAAAACAGAAGGAAGCATTTAAAGAACTTCTAGATGAGGAATTCAATAAAGTGAATATCATAGGTTTTAATTCGGGAAAGTTTGATTTAAATTTAATTCTTCGTGATTTAAACACTGCAAAATGGAAAATAAAATCAATGCTGGGTTCTTCTTCTCAATTTAAGCAAATCATTGTAAAGAAAGCAAACGTTCCATATGAATTGAGATTTATTGACATCAGAAATTATATAGCGGGTGGGACATTAGACCAATTCACTCAAGATTTCGGAAACAATAAATCACGTGTTAAATCCTTTTTCCCTTATCAATTATCACATGGGAAAATTACGAAGAAGAATTATATAAAGAGGAACCATTCACGAAAGATTCATTTTATTCAGCATTAACTCAAGAAACTATATCAGATAGTGATTATCAAATATATCTCAATGATGCTAAAAACTTTAAGAATAGATTAGAATATTTTATTCATTATTGCAATAAAGATGTTGAAATTATGATTGACCCAATTGATAAAATTATTGAAGAAACATTTGTTTATAAAATTGACATGCTTCATAATCTTTCTTTATCATCGAATGCTTCAATGATTCGTTACGCTTTAGCATATAAAGACTTTAATCCTAATGAAAAATATCCTGAGGAAAAGATAGAATCAAGTTTTGAATTAACGAAAAAGTATTGGAAATATAAAATTGAATCATATAAGAAACAAGATGAAAAAGCAGAAAGGGATACTAAAAATAATGTTTCAATGAATGATTTTCAATACTATCACGATTTAATCCTTTCATCTAAATGCAAAATGTGTGGTAAAGCGTTTACATATGCAAATAAACCAACATTGGATAGAATCGATAATGAAAAACCACATACCAAAGAAAATTGTCAGTTAATGTGTTGTTATTGCAATGTCGTGAAATCAAATAAAGATGAAGATGTTCAACGTTTAAGAATCAATTTAAGAAATTACGCATTAAAAAATAATTTACCAATGACTTTAGATTCAGTTGAAGCTTATCACATTCTCCGTAATGGAATTACTGGTGGTTTATCAAATGTTCAACATCGTGTTAATCTTAAAGGAATCACACACATTAATAAACTTTCATATAGTCCAGAAACTAAAACTGTATCAAATGAGGACACCACCAACATTATGACTCATTTCGTTGGAGTTGACTTTAATTCATTATATCCTTCATCATTTTCATCTAATCCTCATGATTTCATTCAATATACTGACCATAAAATGTATATGCCGGGAAGATTGAATGGTGTTATCATTTGTGATACAGCAACAAAGAAAGCAAAAGCACTGGGAATAATTAAGAAGAAAAATACTTTATTCGTGGCTGAAGTAAAGGGTCACATTGATGAAAAATACATTAATGATTACATAAACTTTTTACCGATAATAAGAAACTTAGATATTATCACAGATGAAAAAACAATTGGCAGTTTTATGTATAATTACATGAAA